ATGCTCTGACAGGAGAAAGGTGGTAACCTAGTCCCATGAATTCAGCCTGCCAGGGCTTTTTCAGTGGTGGCTCCCCACCTTTGGAATGACCTCTTCCTTTGAACCTTGCCAACTGCCTAGAGAAAAAAATGCCCCGTCCCTTTAATAGTGGCTGAATGGAATCTTATTTACCAGGCGCTGCTATTTACCTTTATGCTATGAAAAGCTTCAACTATTTGCATGCACTAAGCCTTTATTAGAGGGATGGGGAAATGTTTGTCTAGGCCTGTTGGTAAGCCAGGACACCAGGCCAAAACATTTCTCTTTATTCATGCTTTTAATGGAAATATTCCATCCATTAAAAGGGGTTTTATGGTCCGTTTCTTATGTACCCTTAAGACTATTTTACAACTTTAAAACGTTTTTATAACTCTTTAATATTATTGTGGGTTGTTTTGTGACTTTTTTGTGAACTGTCTTAAGCATGGCTGTAGAAGCAGTTTATGACTTTTCTAAATAAATATGTGGTGATCCCATATAGTTTCATATATGGATAACTATAGATACTAAACTTGCTCTTGGTTGAATATATTTATTTATTTAGACTTTTAGCCCGCCCTTCCCTGCGGGCACAGCTCAGGGCGGTTCACAACAGGATAAGAACAATAGATAATTTAGATTGTTGAAAACCATATAGGGTCAAACTGAACATCATGGTTGTTAAACTTGTGTTTTTTGAAATCCCCGGAGGGATATTTTTTATTATTTTTATCAGACTACAAAACTACAAAGAAAATATAAGGGAAGGGGATTACATCTAAGGATAGATAACCACACCACACTAAAAACCCAAGAGGAGGAGATCATACCCGTGTTAATCTAAGTGTTATTAATAAAAGTGTTAGTACAACAATATACTTGTAGAGTTCTTGTTTGTCTCGGCTTCAATGTTAGTATGTTAGTTGTTGTGAGAGAACTTTCTGAGCATCTTCTTGTTATTTGCTTCAAAAGGCAATTTTCAGAGTCCTTCTGCCTTTACTTCGGTTTTCTGTCTCTGAAATCATATGTAACTTTCGTTGTGCCTGCACCCGTTTCTATGGCAGAGTCCTCATCCATTCCAGAGGTAGCGGAGTCACTTGATTTCGATTCTTCATCTTTGGATTCTTCCTCCAATCCCATCTGGCCTCTCAAAAATTCTTTGGCTTTAAAAATGGAGTCAAAATGTTCTCTTTTGTCGTTGATTTTAAAGATGACACCCTCTGGGATCGCCCACATGTACGAAATTCCATTGGTTTGAAGAAAAGAAATTAAGTCCTTATAGCTTTTCCTCTTTTGGCGAATTTCCAATGGAATGTCTTTTAAAGTTTTAATGTTTATATTCCCCATTTTCAGTGGAGTTGCTGAGGTCGCTTTTAAAATAGCATCTCTGGTCTGTCTTCTTGAGAATCTGACCACAATTTCTCCAGGCAGGCTATTTTTTTAAATATAATTGGAGTATGCTCTATAAGCAGTCTCCATCTCTTTTACTACTTCATCCGCTGTTGAGCCTATTGCTGGAGCAATGATCTCGCTGAGCAACTTCCTCAGATCCTCTTTCGCCGATTCAGGAACTCCCTGGAATCTGAGAATCATGTTGGCTTTTTCCATTTGTAGCTGTAACAAACGGTTTTCTTAGAAGTTTTGTTTTGCTTCAACTTCCCCCATTCTTTTCTTCATTTTCTTGTTTGTAGTGTCTATCTCTTTAATTCTCTCAGTCGTATTCTCCACCTTCTTTGCCATTTCTGCCAGTTGGAGCTGCTGGGATGCGAAGTTTTGATTCAGCGAAGTCAGTTGCTGGTTAATACCATCGAGTTGCTCCATCACCGGCTTGAGCATATCTGCTAACATTTTCATGACATCTGCTCCCTCTTCCGGTTTTGGGCTCTGACTACCCACCGGTTTCGCTTTAAACTTTCAGTCAACGTGCCCAGTCAGCAGTGTACAGTGTCTGGAAAAAGCAGTCTTCTGATTACAATCCCATATTGGTGCTGTGAAAGGCATTGAAATTCTAGAGGGCATATTAGTGACTACAGAGTCAAGTCCTTATATTGGTCGAGTTCAGACTGGCAATTTGAAGCACTAGGGAGTCGTGGCAAAGAAGACCCGGAACAGACCGGGAACGGCTTGTTCGTGGTATTTCTGTTCACACTGCAGCGAATGAAGCGAGAGGATACCGTGGAAGAAGTGCAAGGGAGCGTTCGCACTGTCAGCCCACCCCTGGTGGGCTGTTAGCAGCTGTTTCTGTGCTCCGTTGCATGCACCTATGCGCATGGGCACATGCCGTGGAAACAGCCAGTGCCAATTATCAACGTCTGTGGGTTGTTCCCGCCTTAGCAGCGCTTGCATTCATATGTCAGGGAACCGGAATCAACCTGCTCTACACAGTTTGCTACCATTTTCACCTGGTACTTTTTAAACTCAGGAGGGAAGCGGCACAAAACGGCTTGAGTACGGCTGAGGGACACCTGACAGATGTGCCTGTGTGAACCCGCCCCTTTAATCCACTACTGAAACACTCCTGAAACGTTTGGCTGCCGGGCCAAACTGCCAGTCTGAACTCGGCCATTGTCAGAGTATTATAAGACTGTGGGAGGAAAAAGCTGACAGAAACCTGAGTTACAAAAGGGAAAGATTTAACTGAGCAAAATATAATAAAGACTGGACAAGGTACATTCTGAAGAGAAGAAAGAGTCTGAGAAAGAGGAGTGATAGTCAAGTGAGAGACTGACAACTCAGTGGCTGTGGTCACACACACTAAATAAGCCACTTTCAATCCACTTTCCAACTGGATTTTGCCAGTTCACACAGTAAAATCCAGTTGGAAAGTGCCCTGAAAGTGGATTACTCAGTGTGTGTGACCGCAGCCAGTCAGAAGTTTTATTCCCTGAAGAAATAAGTTACAAACATCTTGAAACCAATACACTTCTTGAACAAATAAAGTTCTATTTTGTTTTATGAAAACCTAGAGTTATATGGTATTACAACACTCTCATCTTCAGGACCACATAGTCCAACGAAGGAGACTTAGAGCTTGGGCACAATATGGTGGAAAAGGTTAATGAATAAGATTTGGAATTAAATTCTGGGTGGCAGTGTTACATACCCAGAGAGAGAGAGAAATAACAAGAAAGTTTAAGACATACCATACCTAGCCACACAAATTAAAAGAGAAGTCGTGACAATCACCCACCACAATTATGTCACTTCTGAGGTCATGCCGGGGTGGGGCTAGTGCAGGAAACTTGGCAGCCCTACTGATTGCACCCCTATGCCACAGGATTCCTGATTTTATAGACTACTGGACTAGCATACGATCAGACCACGCATCAGCTCCCAAATCGTAAAAGCAATCTATGAAATAGGTCAGAGATGATCTGATAGCAAATGGGAGCAGATGCTGGACGTGGTGTTAAGAGCTCTGTTAGAGCAACCCAGTGGGCTGGCTTTCCACTGTGGCCAACCAGACACCCCCGCAAGACCCATGAATATAGGCAAATGCTGAAGACCCCCACCCCCCATATTTGCCGCTGCGAAACCCCATGTGGGTCACACCACATTTCCTATGTGGGACTTTCATAATGTGCAAACCTAGCTTTAATGGCCCTCTTTCTGCCTTTCCTGCATCTTCTTTTCATAACTCCATGCAGTCATTTCTGCTTTTACAGATAGGTTTATTTTGCCCTCTCTATGCATGAGCAGACGTAAGCTATTACAAGCTAAATTCCCTGTGTATCCTTGAAAGTCATGAATTCATTTTATTTATGATTATATTTTAAAATTGGTAGCCCCGGGGTGGCAACCACACAGAATAAAATAATAACAATAAAATTACAAATACAAGAGTGGTATTTCTTTCGAGAGGCAACCCAGCAGCTGGAGTAGATTAATTCTGGTGAAACGATTCCCCGCGCACGACGACATTCATACCAAATTATCTTTATAAGGTTGCAAAGTGAGGTGATTGTGTTCATTCTTCCCCTATGCATCTCATCCCCACCCCCCAAGTCAGTCATTCTCATTGTAATTATATAACTCCTCAAAATTGATCTTCCCTGTGCAGTTTTATTTTAAGTTGTTGAGGGCAATGAATTCTGAAAACATAACTTACTCGCAAACACCTCCATGAAAATCACTCTATTCTAGATCTTTTTAACTTCTTCCTCCAAAACAGGTTTTCACAGCTTGTGAGTACAGAAGGCCTTTCACCACCTTGTTTTTTCCCCTACCTCCTGAACTAAAGGAAGAGAAAGGTATTTTTTTGTGTATAAAAAAAAACTAGCAGGTGACAGGGCTATTGTGCTGTCACACGTCGTACAGATCTGGTTTAAGAAGAAGATATTGGATTTATACCCCGCCCTTCACTTGGAGTCTCAGAGCGGCTTACAAACTCCTTTCCCTTCCCCTCCCCACAACAGACACCCTGTGAGGTGGGTGGGGCTGAGAGAACTCTGACACAAACGGCTGTTTTTCAAGGACAGCTGTGCCAGAGCTTGTGACTGACCCAAGGTCACATCAGCAGGTACAAGTGGAGGAGTGGGGAATCAAACCCAGTTCTCCCAGATTAGAGTCCGCACACTTAACCACATATCAAGAATCTGTTTGATAGATAGCACACTAAACTACAATTTGTAAAACACAGTTTGGTTAAACATCACTAGAGTCTGATGTTCAAGGCCAGCCACCCCACAGTAACTCTGTTTATTAGGAAGGCCACGAACTAGAATTCTTAAAACCGGTGATATCCCTGCTTTAAATCCTGATTTCATAGGATCATAGAATAATCACAGAGTTGGAAAGTACCTCCAGGGTCATCTAGTCCACCCCCCTGCACAATGCAGGGAATTCACAAATACCTCCCCCCCTGTGACCCCTGTTCCATGCCCAGAAGATGGCAAAAAGCCTCCAGGATCCCTGGCCAAACTGGCCTGGAGAAAAATTGCTTCTGGACCCCAAAGTGGCAATCAGCATTTCCCTTGGCGTGTAAGAAAGGTCCACAAGAACTAAGCACTGATGCGATCCTTCCTGCTGCCTGAGTACACAGAATCAGCACTACTGTCAGATGGCCATCTAGCCTCTGAAAACCTCCAAAGAAGGAGAGCCCACCACTTCCCAAGGAAGCCTTTGCCGTATGATTTGTCATAGCTGTGGTTAATCTTTGTCTAGATGTGGATATCTTGGCTTAGTCCTGGCTTGTTTGGTGGTCTGTCACTGGAAAACAGAGATCAGCTGCAGAACAGCAAAATGAGGCAGCCAGTGTGGTATAGTGGTTACAATGTCAGATTAGGATCTGGGAGACCCCAGGTTCAAATCCCCACTCTGCCCTGGAGCTCACTGGGCAATCTTCAGCCAGCCAGTTTTCAGCTTGGATACAGACTAGCATTTCCGTGGGGGGTGAGGATTTCTACCCACAAAGTGTGATTTTCCCGCCCACCCCTCCAGCAGCCTGATTCTGGGAGTCCTGTGCCCCCCAAGAAATGGATTTCAAGTGGTCATTTTTGCACCACTGTGGGAAGGGAGAAAGTTGTGCTATGCAGGCCAGAAATCCCAGGACCTCCAGAAACACTACTTTGGATCCAAGCCACTCTTCCTCAGCCTCGCCTGCTTCACAAGATTGTTGGAAAACTAAAATGGAGGAAGGGAGAACAATTCACATTGTCCTGAGCTCCTTGAAAGCAGAGGATACAATTGTACTAAATAAAAATACCTCTCCAGCTCTTGCTAGTAGCAGGCAAATTAGGCAGGTGCAGAAAAAATGTAATTTACATTATTATGAGTGCAATGAGAAATCAGAGAATAATCTAGAACCAAAAGGTTAATGGTGGCTGACAGAAGTCAGGAGGAAGAAAACCAAGACATTGCATGAGGGACTACATCCAACAGTTCCCTGAACTTTTTTCATGTTTGTCACCTTTGCAGAGGAATGTCAAGCATTTTCTGATAATAAATATTCATGTAAGCCCCACTCCAAAACTGAAATATTTAAAGTATTTTAATAAAGATTTCAGTGTAGCAAGAAAAAGGATAAAAGTACATCCTCAGCTTTACTCAGTGAACAATTTCTCTCCCCATTGACATGTTTTAATTTCCTCTCCCCAAAGGAGAAAATGACAGAAGCATTCTAAACCAACAATACAAAGAACATGTACTGACACAAGACTTCTCGATGTTCTTCAGCAGTGAGACACAAAGCTCCACACTTCAAAGAAATGATATCCCTCTGAGACCGCCCTTTACCTATACCTGTGCCGGCTTGGTTTTGGCTGTCAGTCTGAACAGATGTGAAGATTTCCACCCACTTATTCCTTCTGGATGGTGTGTTTATATGACATACAAGAATCGCATTCACCAGAGGCTGGACATCCACAGGGGTGTAATGGGCTGGATCCAACCTTCTGCAAATGAAGGGAGTTTGCAGAATGGAAACTTTTCCTGCTTTCCCCCTGCACTCTGCAAAACAGCTGCCGGAGGGCAGGCGAACCTTGAAAACAACATGCCATCTAGCTTAAGAGGCTTCAGCAAGCAGGGGGTACTGGATCCCCCCCCCTTTGAAAGAGTACAGCGGACTCGGGAACGGAGCAAAAGCGCTCACGAGAATGAGGAGGCGCAACTTTAGCCATTCCCCTCTTTATCCCCCCTGCTTGCTACAGTCCCCTGTGCCACATTGTTTTGAAGGATCCTCTGACCCTTGGCAATGGCTTTTATGGGGAGCACAGGGAGAGGGATGCTGGAGAAAGGTGGGAAAGATCCACTTCTGCAACCTCCTCTACTGATAGCAGCAAGGATCCAAACCGTCAAACCAGGAAGAACCAAATAGGCAGAACTGTATTTGTACCTACTCAGAGGGGTACCCAGGAGCAGAAACAGTGGTAGGGGTGGCAAGCACTGCAGGACAGGTATGTTTATAAAGGGAATCGGAGCACTGTGGGGGCCAGAAGCAGCCTCAAGAGGGAGGAATAAGGGTTCCTTATCTTGGCACCACTCCTATCAGATGTCCACACTTTGCTTCATCTTTTTCTCCTTCTTCGTTCCTTATCTTGGCACCACTCCTATCAGAGGTCCACACTTTGCTGCTTCTTCTTCTTCTCCTTCTTTGTCTTCTTCCCTTGTGCCTCTGACATGGCACCCAGCGCAGACTGGGAACTCGTCTCCGAAAGGTCAGGCAAGAGCAGTTTTCCAGACTGGGTTGGGTATCTGGTCTTCATCAGATTTTTAAATACTGGCTGGGACAGCAAGTGCTTCAGATGCTTCTTCATCCCTTTCAGCATCTTCTGTTTCTGACTCTCTTCTTGCTCACTGGGCCGGCCTCCTGCAGGCACACATTTATTTTTATTTTAAGAATTAAAATTGCCATTTAAAAAAATCACACAACATTATCAAGCGTCCTTTATTAAAGTATTAATATCCTGCCTTTCCTCAGGGTTCGAGGGTACTTAAAATAATAGTTAAAAACATTCTCAGTTAAAACCAAAATAAGATACCAGCCCCCAAATCTCCCCCCCCCTTTAAAAGACGCCTGCCATTCAAACCCCCTCAAAAGCCCTGGCAAATAGGCCTTGCTGCACTTCCTGAAGATCTCCAGGAATGGGTGGGTGGATCTTCCCCCCCACCTCTTCAGGGAGACCATTCCACAGCCATGGTGGAAAAGGTCCAGGCTCAGGATGATGCCAGACAGGCCACCCTAAATGGCAGGATAGTCAACAGATGGCTGCCTGACAACCATAGTTGGCACTAGGAATGTGCATTCAGATCTACCTGAGCCAAAAATGCATCCAGGTTTTTGGGAATTACCGGGTAGATCTCAAAACAGCAGAGAGGTGGAAGCAGATTGGTCCTGCCTTTCAGTTGCTTGTTGTGCTTGTTGTGCTTCTACTGCAGTCCCTTTAAGGTTTAAAGGCTATTAAAGGTTTAAAGGGACTGCAAAAGGTTTAAAGGGACTGCAAAAGACAGCCTGAGGATCAGCTGTGCCAGTGGGGAGCAGACTGTAACCACAGGCTCGGCTTTTGTTCCCTCCCCAGCTCAGCTTTGTGCTGGCTTCTCCAGCAGCCTGGTTTAAACCAAGCCAGCCCCAGGATCCGACTGGCCTTTTTAAAAAACTGGTATTTTTCTTCTAAGGTCTATTAGACCCAAAAAATTCAGGATTTCCGAACAATCCCGGATCCAAATACTTTACTGGTATTGGGATCCAGGATTTTTCAGAAATCCCAACACGCAACCCACCCCCCCCCCCGCCCCACCACACCCCACAGACCCAAATGGAAAAAATACAGATTAAAAAAATATTGCATACCCCTAGTTGGAAGGTAGACTGTTCTTACTTGGAAGTACACAATGTTTCACGTCACTAAAAACTTCTCAGATTCCTAACAGAGTGGTGGGTATACTTTTCACCAATATGTAAAGATCAGCACATACCTGGGTTACTGCACGCATCTCTGCATTTTGGATGATATGCACGTGACTCCTCCTTACTGGTAGTCCCCCCTCCCTCACATGACTATGCAAGAACCCCTACTTGCCCATGAGGGCCTCATCCTCCAGATCCAGCTCAAGGGCATCTGCGGCTTGCTGCAGCCAAGAGTTGTGCTGCTTTGCTCGGTTGCTGAAGTACTCCACCTTCTCAATCTGCCGTGCCAAGTTCACCCGCTCCTGAAACAAAGCACAGTGGCATTCTCTGGCAACCGCTTCTTTGCGTGCCCTGTAGAGTCAGGCTGTCGGTTTTCAGAACAAGCACAATTCAAAACCGCAGCCTTAGAGATTTACAGAAAAGTCCGAACAAGGCTAGGACACTGAGCTCAGAACATATGAAAAAACAGGCATGATAGGAAAAATAGTAGTATGGAAGGAAGGAGTTCTGGAGATGCAGAGAACAAACCTGGCATGCAGAAGATCCTTGGTTCAGCCCTGGCCCACTTAAAGGACCTCAGGTGGCAAGATCTAGGGAAATGCCTTTGGAAAGCTGCTGTCCCTCAAAGTATTCAGTGGAGTAACCAATGGATGACAATGTAAAGCAGCACCAGATATATGTAACTCTGCAGTTCACCCAATGAAGCTGACAGGCAGTAGAGCTAAGGCAAGACAAGAAAGAACCTCCATAATCAGCAGCAGTAAACCTCCTAATGCCAGTACTAGGAGGCAACACTAAAGAAGGGCCTTGGTGTCTATCTCCTGTTCATTGGCCCTTCAGGGCAGCTGGGTAGCTGCTGTGTGAAACAGGAGGCAGGATTAGGTGGACCACTGGTGTGACCCACTAGGACTCTTTATATGTTTGTTTATTTATTTATTTGTTGGGCATTTAGCCCTCCCTCCCTTGCAGGCAGGCTCAGGGCGGGTTACAACCGTAGATACACAATTCAATACATCAAATAACAATTATAAAATCCCATTACAGTTAGCAATTAAAATCCATGGTAACAACCGATGGTACTGGTGTTCCCGTAAGAACACGTGCCGCTGCATTCTGGACAGACCCGTAGCCAGGATTTGGGGGGGCCTTTAAATAAGTCGGGGAGCACAGATGACAACAGTAGAGGGGGAGGCCAATATAAGTGAATCTCCACCGCCTCATCCATAGGCCTGGGGGTACATCTCCATTTTACAGGCCCTGCAGAACTACATTATGTCCCACAGGGCCTGGATCTTGATAGGGAGAGTGTTCCACCAAGGCTAAGTGGACATCTTCAGGGCCAGGGATCACCAGCAGGTAATGATCTAACAAGCATAATGCTCTCTACCGGGGACATACCGGGAGAGATGGTCCTGAAGGTCCAGTCCGCATAGGGCTTTCAAAGTTAAAACCAAAACCTTGAACATGATCTGGCATTCAACTGGGAGCCAGTGCAGTTGGCAGAGCACCGTTTGGCTATGTGCTCTTACTGGTGTTCCCGTAAGAACACGTGCCGCTGCATTCTGGACAGACCCGTAGCCAGGATTTGGGGGGGCCTTTAAATAAGTCGGGGAGCACTGAAATAAAAATAAAATAAAAAGAGGGTTTTTTTAAAGCTTGGAAGAAATGGGGACTGCCGCCGCCAGCTCGGGACCACCAGCCCCTCCCCCCTGATGTACCCTGGAAGCCAAACACCCAGGCACAGGAAGAAGAGAAGAGGAGACGCAGGAAGAAGAGGAGGAAAGGCAGAAGAGGAGGAGAAAGAGGGCCCAAAAGTTCCCAATGGCCTAGCTGCCTTGCACCACCTCCTCACCTGGGAGCCCTACTCTGCCACCAGCTTGGGACCCCCAGCCCCTCCCCTCAATGTGCCCTGGAAGCCAAGCGCCATGAAGCTGGCCTCTGCTGGTGCTCCAGCTGGGCACTCAGGCACAGGAGGAGGAGGAGGAGGAGGAAGGCACCATGGCCAGGCCCTGCTGACCTCTGAGCGCTGCTGAAGGTTCCCATTGGCCCCACCTTGCCTGCCCGCCTGGCTGCCTCACACTACTTCCTCACCTGGGAAACCCATGCTATCGCCACCGCTGCCAGCTTGGGAACCTCAGCCGCCCCCCGCCCCCCCAAACGCCAGTCCAGGATGGAGCCAGCAGGGCTGCTGACAGGTGGGGAAGAGGCAGCGGTGGTGGTGTGGGGAGACCTCCAGGCTGCCCAGAGAGTCGGGGGGGGGGGTTGGGGTAGAAAGGAAGTAAAGTCAGGGGGCCTTGGCAGGAAGTCCGAGGGCCAGGCCCCGGGGAGCCCCACTGTAGCTATGGGCCTGATTCTGGACAAACAAAAGTTTCCGGATCAGTCTCAAAGACAGCCCTGCATAGAGCGAGTTCTTACAGTGAACATCCAATGCATAATTATCTGCCAGAATTTAGTACCCAAGAGGTGGCCGAGGCTATTCACTCACATAGTTTTTAAAAAGGAATAGACCAATTCATGGAGGAAGGATCTGTCAACAACTACTGGCCATGGTGGCTAACGGAGCCTCTGCATTAGGAGGCAGCATGAGTCTGCATACCACGTGCAGAGAGCAAAGAACAGAAGATGGCCATTGCTGTCTGTCTCTTTTGGAGGCACCTGGCTCATGCCTCCTGAAATGGAATGCAGATCTGTAAGGACATAGCTTTGATACAGCATAAACATCCTTATGCTCAGTTAACTTGTTTCCAATTTATCCTTCCTGTGCTTGCCTAACACGGGTCAATTCAATTAATCCATTTTGTGGAGCTGTGGTTTCCTGTAACTGATTATACTGCTAAAAACGAAGATATCATTCAATGCTTCTATCCCAAAGGGGTGTTTTTTTCCTGTTCAGGTTTATTTTCAGAAGTGCTCACACAGTCAAGTGTTTTGAGACTGTTTTACTGTGTATTACTGTCTCGCTATCTTTGGTATTGCATTGTTGAATTGTAACCATGCTGAACTGTAACCACAAATAAAATATTATGAAGCTGAAAAAAATTCAGTTAAGCAAAATAAAATAAAATAAAAATAAAAATGTGTATATTAAAGTGGGGCTGTTGTCTTGAACAACTGCTGCAAACTCAGTAACAGCTCCGAATGCACAGAGATGGTTAGCTTTAGAGTCTGGACTACATGCTGTATTTGCCAAAGAGGAATTAGCAGCACTACAGCATAACCCCCCCCATATCCCCCCTTTAGCAACACTCACCAAACTCACAGTGTAATGATCCTGATTCACACAGTAAATGCTAGTAAATGCTACACCTTCAAAGGTGAGAATGTTGTCACTGGGATGCTGGCCCCTGAGATAAACATAATGGGCTGGATTCTAAGCCTCCTCTCCACTGGCATAAAGATGTACTCTGCTGGTAGTTAGAGGCAGGAAAGGCAGTTTCAGCCTCTTCCTTCTCCTCCTCACTGCAGCTCCTTGTTTTGCATGGCTCCTTCCTTGTCTGGCATGGAGACACAGAGATATCCCAGCCTGTGTGGGAATCAGAAGATGGGAAAGATCTGCCTCTGCTAGCCCTGCCTGGGATTCAGCTCGGTGCAGCACTTAAAATGGCTAAGACAAGGCCTCGGATTCCCAGCTGTACTTCACACTTGTGCAGATTCAAGGGCAGATTATAGCACTGCATTTCATATACAAATATTCAAGCACCTTGGTTAACATTATACAAATATTCCAGCATTGGAACTGGCTTCCCTGTTGCATGCAGGGCATAATTCAAAGTGCTGGTTTTGACCAACAAAGCCATAAACCAAGTAAATCCACAAAAACCAATCGCTCCACAAAGAGTTACTGGACTGGGTACTAGGAAACCATGGCCGGGGGGAGGAATCCAAACAAACTTTGAGGAAACTACCTCCAGCCTAAGGACACTTCCTTCAACTTAAGCAGCTCTCCTTCCAACAGAAGGGGTCACTTCAGTTGCAGGCAGCCTCCTTAGGTTGGAGGAAGGCTTCACACTTTGCTCCGAGGAGTGGTAGGGTATGAGCAGAATCCAACATCTTGAAGATTAATGGCTGACCTTGTACCAGCCATTATAATTTAATCTAGTTTACCTTACAGGTTTGTGGTGAAGATATAATGGGGAGGATCCACACAGGTAGCCTGGAAATCCTTTGTCTCAAGGGCAAGTTAAAAATGTTATAATGCAATCATTGTCATTAATAAGCCTGCATGCCCACATATGCTTAGGCTGAGTAATTTGCAGAACATCAATGCTCTTATTTTAAAAAGGAGGGGAGGAAAGAGAACCAAATTCCTATTCAGAAGCACTTTCCTGCTTAGTCACCGGACAAAAGTCTTCTTTCAATAGTCTACATCCAAAGCATCCAAGCTAGTATTACTCCAGGGGCAGGCTCTCAGATCAGTGCTTAAGTACATAGCTGGAATCCCTTCATCAATCCCCCAGAAGGGCTATGCAGCCTCTTTATCTAATTTCATACTCTGGCTGTTGGGCTCCATCTCAATCCAGCTCCAGCAACTGGCTCCAAACTCCTGGGTGAAAGCAGGCATCTCTTAAGAATGCGCCTCTCTATTCCACCCTGCTTTCACCTAGGTGGCTTCCTCCTCTCGCCAGCAACCCTCAGTGATCTTCAATAATTGGACTAGGCTTCTCACCCACACACCTTTCATAATAGTAACATCAGCTTCGGTTAGGTTTCAGTAGAATTTAAGCTCTGTAGAACATTTCTTGAGAGACTGTGTGCGTGCGCATGCGTGCACATGTTTCGAACTCTGAATTCAATTTGCTACTTCCCTTGGGTATCATTCTTTTCATTAATAAATCCTTAACTTTAAACCAAGATCTATTTATTCTAAGACTCTACGTAAAGTATATACACCTCTGCCCCTCTGGATAATATTAGCAGCGATCTGGAGTATGCAACACTTGCTGTGGATCTGGAAAAGTCAGAATGAAGTTTTGGTGAAGTACTGTTTACCAAGGCCTCTATCCCTTTTTGGCTACTGCTGCTCATCCAAAAAGTTCAGGACGGAACGTGCTGCAACCTTGAACAGTACAAAATCCCACACCCAAAACAGACCCTGTTTTGCGTGACTTACAGTTTGAACATGGAAGACATACAGAGGAAACATGCCTTGACCAAGGCTAACGGTTAGGTCAGTAGCAGAGATGGAAGAAGAACTCTGTTCTCCCTGCACCCTTGTCACTGTGCAGAGTGTTATCTGTGCTGCTATGAGAAGGAAGGGATTGTGGCCCGCAGAGAAACAGGTGCCACGGTGCAGAGCAGTTCATTGAAGCCTTCTGCTCTTCCTTTCCAAGATGTATGTTAACGGGCTTGAACGTTTTAGATGAAATATAAAATCTGAAAACATGAACAGAGCAAAGAGCTGATCCCAGCCCTTAGCCAAAGAGACACCCCAAAGACTGTATATTGGGCATGCTGATTTAACTACTCTGACAGGTCACACAAAGGGATTAAATTATTAAAGCAGCGGGAACTGACAGCAGGGTAATGCACGATCGGAATCCTTAAGCAGCCAAAGAAAGGAAAAATTAATCTCGGAAATCATTCATTACCTGCAATTAACTACTTAAAGCTACGCATTCAAAACAGCTTTAATTTTAACGTCCTCGTGTAATTCTCTCTTTTCCCTAATGAAGACTGCATAATGTCTTTGGCGGGACCTATGGCTCCCCAGTTTCTAAGAGCTAAAAAAAATAGATACACATTTTTTAAAATTCCTTTCTCCAATTTTAACAGAACTAGTGTTTGACAAAAGGAAAAGCCGGTCTTCTATTCAGAACAAGCCTGTAGCAGTTTGAGAGTAAAGCATTACAGCATTAACCCCCTGAACACACAGGCACACATCACTGAATTGGAAAACTGGTTCTTCCAGCTCAATACTGTCTGCTTCGACTGGCAGGGGACGTTCATTCCAAGCTTTTGCAACCTGCGATCCTTTGAACCAGAGATACCGGGGCTTGAACCCGGGATCCTCACCATGCAATACACGTGCTCTACCACTGAGACATGTCACTTCCCCTACATGCCATTTTACACATTCATTTTTCATGGCAAAGGGAAATGAGAGAGGCAATCCTAACCAGGGTGCTTGGAAGTAAGTCTCATTTTATTCAATCGGGGTCGGGGAGGGTTTTTTTGCTGTCAAGTTGCAGTTGACTTATGGCAACCCCGTAGGGTTTTCAGGGCAAGAGATGTTCAGAGGCGGCTTGCCATTGCCTGCCTTTGCGTCGTGACTCTGTAATTCGTTGGTGGTCTCCCATCCAAATACTGACCAGGGCCGACCCTGCTTAGCTCCCAAGATCTGACGAGATCAGGCAAGCCTGGGCTATCCAGGTCAGGGTTCAACACAGTTTACTTCCTGGAAACTGTTCTTAGGATAACAGCTAACATGTACAAAGAGATCGACTTTAGGATGTCTGGATTAATTTGATCGAAATCTGAAATACACCCCGACTGCATAACACTGAAGCATAACAACTGCCAAATTCCAATTGGAACGATGCCTCCCTACCAACCAACTCTTCGACACCACAAAACTACTTTAGGGAAGCCCATGGTTTTGGAAGACTGATACAAACATTTCCCCCCCCTTTCCTTCGCTTTATGTTCTAAACTTTCCAGAACACCCTGCAGTCTAGAGTGGGAATTTTTAAAAACTGAAAGTCAGCCTAAAATTTGGCACAGCATCAGCTACTGCAGGCTGAAACACTGTTTTAGATCACGGATATTCTCTGATCAAGGGTCCAGTGGCACCTTAAAAGACTAATAAGATCTTTTCCAGAATAAGCTTTTACCAGCCAACTGCATCTGATGAAGTGAGAACCAGCTTTCAAAAAAAAAAAGGCTTCTGTTGGAGTAAATCGGGACAGTCTTTTAAGGTGTCACTAGACTCTTGTTCTATTTTGTTGCTACTGCCTAACATTTGAGCCAATTTGGTGTAGTGGTTAGGTGTGCGGACTCTAATCTGGGAGAACCAAGTTTGATTCCCCACTCCTCCACTTGCACCTGGCTGGATGACCTTGGGCAAACCCTAGTTCTGATAAGAGCTGTTCTTGAAAAAGAGCAGTTTGTGTCAAGAGCTCTCTCAGCCCCACCTACCTCACAGGGTGTCTGTTGTGGGGAGGGGAAGGGAAAGGAGTTTGTAAGCCGCTCTGAGACTCCTTTGGGTAGTGAAGGGCGGGGTATAAATCCAATCTCTTCTCTTCTTCTAACATGACTATTGGTATGGAATTCTCTGACCAGGATTCCCAATTCACAAGTGTAACATTAACATTTTTTCTGCGGTCTCAAGGGACTGTGAAAAGCAATGTAGCTGAAGTACGGCACTGAGCTGAAAAAAAGACCATGTTTACCTTGATAGCAGTCATGTATTTCATTTCCACTGGAAAAAAGGGAAGCTCTTCACTCTTTTCCAGTGTCTTGTAAATCCTTTTAAAATTCATCACATCGCCAGGGCCAATCAGCAGCAAGCTCAGGCCCTCACTGGCAGCCCTGGCTGTCCGGCCACTCCTGTGCACGTAGACTTCAGAAGTTCGAGGAACCTGCAAAAGCACAAGAGATTAACACTTCCATGGAGACACAACAGAATCCACAAAGAAAGAACAGCACGTCACCTTCCCAGAAAGCACTTTCACACCTTCTTCGGTAACTGCTTCGACATCACAGGTTGCCTTTGTTTGGGGACAGAGTACTTTGCTTTAGAAGGAAAGCTGACACTCCTGGGGATCAGGGAATGTGTGCGTCTCCTGCAATTCCGTGCAAGCACAGAAAAAGACATAGAATTCGTCCAGGTTGCAAAATTCAACCTGCCACGAATCCTAGCTTCTCAAAGGTACGAAGGGAGATTGGGAAAGAGGATGGTTATAGACTAGAGACGGGGGGCGGGCGGAGAAAAAGAGTTGGTTTTTATACCCTACTCTTCTCTACCCAAAGGAGTCTCAGAGCGGCTTACAATCACCTTCCCTTCCTCTCCCCACAACAGACACCCTGTGAGGTAGGTGGGCCTGAGAGAGCTCTGAGAGAACTGTGACTGACCCAAGGTCACCCAAGCTGGCTGCATGTAGAGGAGTGGAGAATCAAACCCAGTTCTCCAGATTAGCGTCCCCTGCTCTTTAACAACCACACCCAACTGGCTCTGTAAGGTTGTCAGGTCTACTCTTGAGAACTAAGAGATGCATAGAAAGTTAAAATTTCACTATGTGCAGCTTCTTCCATTGCTGCAGTACTCAAATGGGGGAAACCATTTATCCCTGCTAGGTTCTTCTCTCTGCTTTCACTGTGGACACAGATTTTCTGCAGCTGCTTACACCTGTAGCCCTGACATCCACAGGCTTCAAAGATGGCCACTTGTCAAGTGTTGTTACAGAACTACATAAGAACTTAAAAAGAGCCCTCCTAGATTGGACTAGTGGCCCACCTAGTCCAGCATCCTGTTTCACAGAGTGGCCAACCTGGAAGGCCAAGAGCACACAGAGGCCAAGGGTGCCCTTAGATGTTCCCTCCTACCACTGGTATTCAGAGGTTTCCTGTCTATGACTATGGCGGTTCCCTTTGGTCATCCTGGCCAGCAGCTATCGATGCCCATCCACCATGAATCTGCCTAATCTCCTTTCAAAGCATTCTGGCCATCACTAGATTCACTGCCAATGAATCCCACAGATCAATTACTTCTTGTGTAAAGCCGTATTTCCTTTTGTCTGTCCTGAAATCAGTGAAGGTGGGGTATGTAGTAATGAATGATGTGTCCATCAACTTCATTGGGTGCCCTTGAATTCCAGTATTTTGGGAGATGTAAAAAACCATTGTGTATATCATCCTCTTTCTCCTCCTCACACATATCCCTTATATATAAAAGCCGAACGGTGGTGGCACTTCTCTAGAACATTCTACATGCTCCGGAATTGGCTGGTGCCCTGGTGTGTCACTCAGAATCTGTCCCTATCCACTGGCTGCATTGCTTGTCTTGCCTCCAACATTCTAAACAGTTTGCTGCCCCCCCCACCCCATAGCCAGTCAGAACACAGAGGTTGTTTGCATATGCAGCCTCATTGGCCTTTGCCTCGGAACACAGAGGTCGTTTGCATATGCGACTTGATTGGCTTTTGCCTCTAACATTCTAAACAGTTTGCTGTTCTGAGATAAAATGTGTCCAATCTCCAGGTGAGGGCTGGAGACCACTCAGAATTACAACTGCTTTCCAGATGGCAGAGATCAGTTCCCCTGGATAAAATGGTGGGCTCTGTATCCTTATATGCTGCTGAGGTGGCCCCCATATGACAGCCAATGTGACGTAGCAGTCAGGGCTTCAGAGCATGGGAGAGGCTGCAGGTGTGTGGGGGGTAGAAAGCTGATGAGTGAGGGGGAAATAAAGGTAGGTTGATGATTGGCTGGGAAGGAGATAGGGTTGCCAACTCCAGGTGGCGAGGGTGAGGTTTCAGGAGGAGGAGGAGATTGGATTTATACCCCGCCCTTCACTACCCAAAGGTGTCTCAGAGCGGCTTACAAACACCTTTCCCTTCCCCTCCCCACAACAGACACCCTGTGAGGTAGGTGGGGCTGAGAGAACTCTTGACAGAAACTGCTCTTTTTCAAGAACAGCTGTGCCAGAGTTATGGCTTGCCCAAGGTCATCCAGCCAGGTGCAAGTGGAGGAGTGGGGAATCAAACCCAGTTCTCCCAGCGTGGGACCTCGGACAGGTACAAAGCCATAGACTTTTCTCCAAACCAACCATTCCCTTCTGGGGAACCATCATTGCCAATCTCCAGGTGAGGGCTGGAGACCACTCAGAATTACAACTGCTTTCCAGATGGCAGAGATCAGTTCCTCTGGAGAAAATGGTGGACTCAGTGTCATTATACCCTGCTGAGGTCACCACAGCAAATTGACACTGAGTGTCCAAGGGGCCCCCGCCCAGAGCCTCTTTCTAGATATCGTTGTATTTATTTCCACAACGGGCCTTTTTCCTAGTGATTTTATAATTCTCTATCCCAACCCCCCCTGCCATCTTTTTTCTAAATTAAACAGTCCCTTTAGCTTTTCCTCATGGGAAAGATGCTCCAGTCCCTTTAAACATATTTGCTTCTTTGGAGGGGGGGCCTGGAGATCTGCTATTACAACAGATCTCCAGATAATGGAGATCAATTGCCCTGGAGAAAACGGCTGTTTTGGATGGTAGATTCTATGGCATCACATCCTGTGGAGGCCCCTCCCTTTCTCACATTCCCCAGCCCCCACCCCCAAAATCTCCAGGAATTTCCCAACCCAGAGCTGGCAACCCTACTTTTTATTGGGCAAATCTGGCATATAAAGAGGCACACGAGGGACAGCAAGAAACCTCAGCCCAGGTGAGGCCTTGCCTGAGACACTTCACTGCCTGTTTCTGGACAGTACTCACAGACATGCCCAGCAGAGTGGTTTGGTCTCCGCCCATTCGACTTTTTCAGTTATTCACATTTTACTCAGTTTGCTAAACAGAGACAAAAAAAGTACATTTTGGGAGAATGGGGGTACCTGGTAATGAAGGACGTGCTGCACATTAGGAATGTCAAGACCACGAGCGGCAACATCAGTCGTGAGGAGGACACAGCTGAAAGGGCAGAAGTGGAGAGAGCTGAGTCGTCTGTTTCACAAAGCCAGAAACGCTCTCTTCACAAGGTCAGCTGACCAGGTCATGTGAAAAATCACTAAACTATAGACCCTGTCAATACCTCACACATACAACGAAGATAAATTTTACAAGAATTCCGGAGGAAAGAGAAGAGAACCTACTCAAAGAAGACAACTATTTTGCCTCTTATCATGATCGACCCCAATGGCCTATTTAAAAAACTACATTAAAAGAAGAAGAGAGAAGAGACTGGATTTATACCCCGCCCTTCAGAGTCTCAGAGCGGCTTACAAACTCCTCTCCCTTCCCCTCCCCACAACAGATACCCTGTGAGGTAGGTGGGGCTGAGAGAGCTCTTTCGAGGACTGCTCTTTCAAGAACAGCTCTGACAGAACTATGGCTTGCCCAAGGTCATCCAGCCAGGTGCAAGTGGAGGAGTGGGGAATCAAACCCAGTTCTCCCAGATTAGAGTCTGCGCTCCTAACCACTTCACCAAACTGGCACCAAAAAGAAATCTCTCCCCCCTCAAACTGTTCCACTTCATCTACTACATATTCATCTGCAACTGGGACATACATTTCAAAACAATTACAGTTATATCCCAGCATGGTCCCTGACTGGAGATATGTGGGCTTTACCAGGTTCTGCCCCATATGGTCATGATTTAAAAAAAAAATACACCACTGGCTTCTCTTTCTCTTCTTGCCTTACGCGTCTAGACTAGGGGCAGGTGACCTTTCTGATTTGAGTGCTGAATAAAATGCAGCATCTACCTGTGAAGATGCCGGAGTGCTGGCAAACAAAAGGGGCAGGGGGGGGGGGGGAAT